TCACCGTCTAAATTGATTGAGCTATTCGCACAAGGTCGACCGTGTAGCTCAGGTTTGTGGTCCCAGCTGGGAAACTCGCGGTTCGATTCATGATACGGCCACAAAATACACGAGTCTCAAGCAGGTCAAAATAGCATTCCAGTGCTGTTTGTTGATCATCACAAAGATTTTAATGGCATTTAACAGGCGGAAAGCTAACGATCTCCCAACGAGTGATACTTACACCCAAGATCATCAACAGTGTCTTGGTGCTTGTGAAAAACTGAATGACTTTGAAGAAATCAGCTTGTCCTAGCCACGACGAATGAAAACCAAAACACAAAGGCGTCTGTGACAACGTTTCGACCCTCTTGGACGGTCTTTTTCAAGTCGTTTAATCGGTTAATCTCACCTTACAAGCAATGATAAGGCGATGGGACCTTTTCTACCGTCTAAATGAACTAATGGTGTTCGTGCTCGAGGTTCGCGTAGCATTGCATGAATTGCAACACTGGGTTTAGGTGAAAAGCGTTAAGCAGTCGCACATATGTGTAAATCCTGAACTTCTCTAGAACGCCGTATCTGTAATATGTTTTGCGCATGTTATTGTCCTCGAAACTTGGCTGTCTGGGTTAATAGTGGCCAGCAGAGGGTAGCTAGACTATGCATTAGCATAAAGATAGGGCATCGTTAAGCAATAGATTTGGTCATATGGATTGTGCTAGATTCCTTGTTTGAATGTTTTGCCATTTGTGTACTTGATGGTATTAAGTGATTTGATTAAGTACCGTGAACAATAGCGCTTATGTATCTTTTCTCTTCCACTGCCCTTCCGGTTTTCCCCATTTCGTTTATCCCGTGGAATGGTGCCCATAATTACGAATATCTACTGTTCACTTGTAGACACTGGTAAACTAAGTCTTGAAACTAACCCTTAAAGTAGCGAACTGCACACAGAGGTACTTGGTATTTAGCTGAACAGCTGCCTAATCCTAACGAGCAGTAAGGGGATTCGAGCTTCGCTTCCCGGTTTACGCCATTTACGTAGATTCAAACTGCATGATTATGGCCACACTTTCAGTGTTTTTTCGTAATGTTCTCCCCATCGGTCGACCAGTTAGGTAACAGGAATAGCGCAATGAAAAACCGGAAGAGTAACTCATTGCTAATAGTTTAGCAAACTGGATTTGAGAGCTCATTGCGAGATGTCTAACGGTCACACACCTTACTGAACGATTATTAGTATTTATCCACGACCTTGTTAGCGTTATCATAAATATTAGTTTCTCATAGTGTTATGCTTTTCATCGATTCCGCGGGGCTGTGTCCATCATTGCACGTCAGTCTAGTTTTCGAACGGCGTTCGCATACCTGTTTTAGCTTTCACTTTTAATTTGGTGGGTTTTGGCAAGTAATAAGTTCATAACAACTCAGTATTACAATCTCAGCATTCTCGCACCCTCTATTTTCTCCTCTCTGTTCAATTAGGTTTGCCGATCTGCTCTGCTGTGGCTACGCTATACTTGGTCTCGACATTTGTTTCGCGTTCCCGATTCATGGTACCGGTACGAGCCACAAGCGCAAGTTGTTGCGGCTCTCCGCATCCGCCTGTTCCGTTGCAAACCTTATGTGGACAGTTGTGATCAGGCTCGAATAGTTTGGACGGAGCTGAATGTGAGTCGTAGTGACCACACGTTCTGTGTTCCTCCAGAATCTCCTCTCTCTCTGCTCATGAAAACAATAGCATTAGATTCACATTGAAGCGCTTTCTCCTATGTGCGGTCGGCCCATGTCTATAAGCCTATTGCTACAGTCATCCACCTCTTGGGACGCCTTTGGATTAACTGTGTTTTCTTTCTGAAGGTATTTTTTATCTGGTCCTTCAAAACTATGGTCAACAATGAATCTGTTTTTGATTAATTGTTTAGGACTCACTTTCCTTCAGACTTCAACTTCACGCACATTCCTCAGCTCTTCCAGTCAACCATACACTCGGAAGCACTAGACTCGAGTTTCGCTCTTATTAGAGCGCATCAGTAGTGCATATTCACCGTTCCGTCCGGGATTTGAACTCCAGACCCATCGCATGGAAGGCGTGTGTGGTACCACTGTGCCAACCAGCTCATGCCAGGGCTGAACCGAATTGCCAATTCATGTTTGTTCAGGTGTAGTCTTCAGAGATAGTCAGTCAGTTCCATTTAATCTGATAGCAACGAAGGGCTACACANCATGGAAGGCGTGTGTGGTACCACTGTGCCAACCAGCTCATGCCAGGGCTGAACCGAATTGCCAATTCATGTTTGTTCAGGTGTCGTCTTCAAAGGTAGCCAGTTAAATTTGACTTGATGGAAACGAAGGGAGACAGTTGACTTTCTGTTAACTCCAATCAAAAGCTTCCCACCAAATCAGGTCTTCCATGCAGGTTACTTCTAACTGGCTACAAATCTCTAAGTTGAATTGATAATTCGTATTTAACTCACAATTACTTGTGAGTAGTGTTGTGGGATAATTGATATAGATGAGCTCTAATAAGAGCGAAACTCAAGTCTAGTGCTTCCGAGTGTATGGTTGACTGCAAGAGCTGAGGAATGTGCGCGAAGGTGAAGTTTGAAGCGTGGTCAGTCCTAATCGATATCAACTATCCCACAAAGCTACTCACAAATAATTGTGTGTTAAATGCGAATCTGTTTGTCTGAGATTTCAAGCAGAATTGTAGTAGACCGTAAGAAATGGAAAGATTTCCGTCAGCAAAGCTGTACTTCGCCGGGGACGTAACCAGTTGGTAGGTCGAATAACGATCACTTAGGTGGTTCTGTCTGTTACTGTGCATTGCTACGCCCTAGTGAACGATCTGTGTTTATGTCTAATGTTAGGGTGTTCGGGCACCTGTCAAACGATCTCTCTGTAACAGAAAGCCGTCAGTGTGCGTCTTTAATCTGGTCTGTCACTAAATTAGTCCGCAGTCGTCATTGCGTATTGCTTTACAGATAGCATTTGGTTGCACAGGAGCTTGGGTTATTCGTTTTATCGCAATTTGTATATAGCCAGAGTGAAGGAAATAATAGAATTTTACCGCATATTTTGATGAAGGTTTCATCTTGCTGCCACATCGTTTTATAACACTCTCTTCGTGTGATGAACAGCAGACGGGAAAATCCCCACAATCAAGAGGACCTGCGGTTCACTGATGGAAACCGGTAACCTAAGCCCCGGGATTTAGAGTGGTGAACCACATAAGGCCCATCTAGATTGGCCGTGTTTTTGAACCGGACGACAGCAAAGCTACCTACCACCAAAGTTGTGCGGTGGGACTCGAACCTCGGACCATAGGGTTCAAATCACACCGGTGACAGCGACTAGACCACTGCGCATCAACCTCATTTATTTTGTTACGTTCAAGCAATCGTAAACCCGATCATGGTGTGGTTTGATTATGTATCACTTCTGACTTGCCGCACCAGAAAACACCGATGTAGGTTGCCAAGGCACCTCCAGTTTTTCCTACCTTGCTGCTTATCCTACCGGTAGCATTCGAAGCCATCTGTTAGCACGAGCACGTCTTCACAGTTTAGATTCAACCAAGTTTCCTGTACACATAGAACACGTGTTGGAATTATTGCTTGCGTTCAGAATAATGGTCAAATCTGAGATCTTCGCGAATAGCGAGCAAACGTCAGTGCTGACCAACGATGGCGTGGTCATCTGGGCAGGAGGGGTGCCAGATGGTGTAGTCTGCCATCCGGCCCGTCTGATCCTTTTTATCCAAACGCCTTTATGACTCTCACCAAGCAAGTAATTAACGGGGAGCACAGAATTCACAATTTTCAGCCGGAACTTTTCCTGATGAGAATAATTTTAGATTTTACGCATGCTGAGCATCAAGATATTGATGAAGCAAACGCGAAAAATTCCAACGTGACGACGAGCACGAGAGTGTAGCACAACCAATTAAGGGGTGTGCGGATACGGATCGGTTGGCTCCAAAACGAATTCGCGACTGTCGGGGAGTAGCAATGAAGCCCTTCACACAGGTAGATTTGTGGCTACAGCACTCAAGACGAATGGGCATACCAATTATTTTTTCTATCCAGGCATGTTTATGTCAAGCTGAGGAATATGCGACACAGTCCGTTTCCTATCAGTTAACCGTTTGAGTTTATTCACAATACACTTGCAGAGAGTGAGGGAACCAGTTTGTTTTACTGCCCGTTTGACAAGCTGGTGGTATGCTTTCATTCGACCTGTACAGTCCTGGGTGCAGTCCTCAGTTAGTTCGATAGATGCGCTCTGCGGACGAAACCAAACAAGATTGAAACAACTATGCTTTGGCTTCTAGCTATTTAGATTGGTCTTCCTTTGTTGTTTACACGATGAATTTTATCATACAACTACATCCGATTCTCCATCACCGTCTTCCGATTTCACCTGGATCTCTAACCTCTGGCTTCTGATCCTCGTCCGTCCACCTCATACTAGTCCCACGAGCCTTATTGGATTTTTGAACAACCGTACACATTTACAATGGAATTGGCCAGCTATGTGATTGACGGCACATTTGCACCGAAACTGAAGAACTACTTGCGCACTTTCGATGAGCATGTGCGATCTTGTCCGGTACGTTTTTTTGGCAACACTCTGTAACGGCCTTCATGTACTCGGTAATCAAATCTGAAGTCTTTCCTCCTAATGGGTTTCATTCTTGTTCCGAATAAAAATCTTCACTTTTTGCGCATTAGGTAGCAGTGTTTCCGTGTAGTTCTTTTACGAGCTGTATTTACCCTGCGACAAATANTGTGTGAACGCCTGGTTCTACAATCGGCCCAAAGAGGTTAGTTGTTGAATCCCGATCACATCATAATTTACACCGGCCTCCCTATTGACTACTGCTACTACATGGAAACCTAACATCTGAGATATCCATGAAGCCGATCCATCTTCCGACAGGAAGGAACGGTAAAAATTCTATCGGACATTTTGGCAGAACGTTACCGATCGAGATTCATGAACACCAGTTAATAATGAGGATCCAACCCAGTTTCGCTTACTTCGCACCTTAGAGATGATAAATATCAATTTTATTCGTCTTAAACTATTGCAATGATCAGTGGAAAGGAGCTTAATCTGTGGTCATGTGAACCGTCAATTGAAGACTTGCAGTAGACGACAGTCAAGTTCACTCACGGGAAGTGACGGTCAAGTGGTTAAGGTCATCGAAATAATCACCACCCGATGATTGTAAACTGTAATTCCTCCGCTGCAGTCCATATTCCGAATTTCTGTATTGCCCCAAACAGCCTTTGTGCTTCTGTACCCCACCCCACCCCCACCTCCCCCTCTTCCTTCATAACTGCATTTGTTTACCAGGTAGACAAAAAGCAAGTAAAACATTTTCATTTAGACTTGGTACCCTTTGAAAACTTATTGGTCGGACCATGTGTATGAAATCCATGCAACCGAAGCATCCGATTTTTAACGGAAGACACTTCCTGATCTGAGAGTCTTCTAAGTTGGACAAAAAACCTCCCGAGCTAATTGGACGATGGGGAGTAAGAATAATGGGGATAATTTACCAATCACACCCATAAGGAACCGTCACAAGGCAAATAGAAGCAGAGTACCAGAGTTTGTCCCACAAACACTGGGGGATGTTACCTTGGCGATTAAGGAAACTATTGTAACCAAATTGCACGGCTCGCCGAAATTGAAGCAAACCAATGTGAACCATAGAATCGTTTTTTTACATTAAATAACACAGGTCTCAAACTATTCGGATATAGTGCACGCCACAAGTTTGTTTGATTGACCACTTAAAATTGTATTCGAGACCGTCTCAAATAGCTTGGAAACGTAGCAACTGAAATTTCTGCGCACACAGCCGAGTCAAATCACCTAGTTAATCTAGTTGAATTATTTCGATCTTTATACAGTCATTGGATTGCGATCAAAAAAGATCAGAGGTTGTCTACTATCCACCGCGGAGGTAACCGCACTTCGACTGTACAACAACTGGGTAGAGTTCTCTAATTCCCGTGGCCTTTCTTCGCTAACCCAATCACGTAACAAGAATACTGGTCATCTAATAATGACTATGAACAGTATAGTGATTAATTAACCCCCATTTACTGGCATTGCGACCCACACCGACAAATCCCGTGATTTTTTCTGTCATTTCCCGACCCATTCTCACTTGTATCTATATATTTATGCTGTATTTATCTAGTTAATGAAGCACCGAAAGTGAACCCATTTGTCACTTTGTCTTCTAAGGCAATCGCCGGGTCTATTTGCTCGGTTTAAAGAAAGCTGGGATTATCAATTTCAAAACGATCTGTGTAGTGCATACTTCGATAAACCACTTTACCGAGCAGCTAAAAGATTATGTCAGTCGTTTTTTTAAAAATTAGTTGAGCTTACACAATGGGCCGAAAGCGGTCCATTCGAAATCTTCCTATGAGGAGGAATGATATTGAGTGATAAGGCAAAGTTAACCTTGAACGGATCGGATAATTCACAATACCAGTGAAATGATACCAGGAAGAAACCAGTCGCATTTCCTGTGTAACTTATCGACAAGTTATGGGTCTGGATTCGTTTTCTGCCGTTGGTTCGAGTCAGTCAGCTGACCTGCACGATCGTTGAACTTGCCTTTATTAACGTTTGTCGGGAACATGCTGGAAGCGTGTGTATTGACGTGTTTCCATAAAATGAACAGGATGTGTTCAGTTGAGCTAAAAGGTTACCTATCAGTAGTACATTGTCCCCATATTTCTGTTGTACCCTATTTTAATGCATCCGTGAATACTATTCTCACATCAAGTGGGTTGTCGAATATTTTCACTTTTTCTGATCACTTTGTGAAAAATAGCCCTTTTGGTGTTCTGATTATCGGAGCATTATGTATTATGTTATTACTCCCGATTAGATTTTGTAGGTTCTCAAAACTAAACCCAAAAGCACTGATTAGTAATGGAACAATCCATGTGGAAAACATCTAAAATTGTTTCTTAAGTATAATTTCGAAGTGTTTCTTCACATTTCTCCTCAGTGAGCACTGATCAGTTTTGCACATCCTAAAAATCTAGTCAGATCCAAACTCCGATACGCAGGGTTGTTATTAGAGTCGGGCTCCTTCCTACATCTCTACATCCGTGTTGTATTGCGTTCCCCCCCCCCCCCCGC